AGTGCTAGGGAGGCTTGTGCGGACCCAGCCGGGACCCTCCGTGAGCCAGCCGGGGAGGTCCCACTAAACCAAAGAAAGGCCTTTCCACCGGGTCTGTGTGGGAAGAGATGGGTGCAAACGGCTGCCTACATGGCCTGGTTCCTAAAACCAAGAGAAAGGGAAGTGAGCGCTTCCTTGGCTCTGTGCCCGACTCGCAGCTGTCAGAGGGCGAGGTCTCCCACCTTGAGACCCCATGCCCACCCCACCCCGGCCTGGTGCACAGGGGGCCCCCCGTTCTCTGCTTGGAGAGTGGCGCCGATGCCTCACTGCCTGCAGAACAGCAGTTGGTCCAGCCTGGGCAGGGCGGAGCCCTCTCGGTCAACGCTGGCAAGGCTGCCACAGGCCCCACCCGCAGCCCCTGCTCTGTGTGGTAACTGGAAGCGAAGAACAGCTCTGAGGGCTTGAGAGGGAGGCTGCCGGCTGGTTTCTTGTCTCACGCACCCCACGGAGGGTCATTCTCAACAAAGTGAGGTTAAAGGTCTCAGACCCCCTCTTCCAAAGGCATTCATCCTCCCCACAGCCCACTCCCGACACACACACACACATACCTACGCACACATGCACACACACATACTACACTGCACGTACATGACACACACACACCCATATGCACACACAATACACAAACCCACACATACATGCACACATATACACTCATACATGCCCACACACAACCATATATACACATACTGCACACACACACACATACATGCACACGTATACCACACACATACATGCTCATACACACACATACCACACTACACACATCACACACACACACCCATATACAGACACAATACACAAACCCACACATACATGCACACATATACACTCATACATGCCCCACATACATACACGCACTACACACATATACACATACATGCACATGTATACCACACACATACATGCTCACACACACATGCTCACACACACACACGCACACACACGCACACACACACAGGGTTCTACCATGAGACGCCTCTGTAGACTGCAGATTTCTCCAAACCTCGTCAAGAAGCCAAAGAAAAGCCTTTCTGGGTCACAGAGGGCGTCCCTGACCATGAGAAGCAGCAGCCCCATTTCCCACCCCGCATCCTCTGCCACCACCAGGGGAAGGTGAGCCAGGCATGAGGCTGAGGAACCTTGCACTCCAGTCACATCCCCTGTGCTCACCGTCTCCCCACCAACCACCAGGGCTTCCTTGTTCGGCCACATCTGCTGAAGGATGTCACCGGGGAGGCTCTGGGACTCATGTCCTCCTCGGGACCTGGCTGGCAGGACAAGGCATCTGGATCTTATTCTGAGTTCAGTGGGAACCATCAGAGGACTCCTTGTATCGGGGATTCCTGTCTATCCCCTCACCCTGCCCCATAACCTTGACCCAGCATGTCTGGAGAGACAAATTCAGGGAGGATGGAGCTTCTTGGTGACAAAAGAAGGCCTAAGAAGCAGGGACCCGTCTGAGTCTCCCATCCGCTGGTGCACCCCACAGGGCTCCTGAACCGAGGATCCCGGGCAGACAGAGCAGCTGGTCCCTACAGCCCGCCTCCTACCACCAGGATGGGATTTCATCACCCACCACAGCATGGGGACTCCTATGGGGCGGGGGAGAAGCACAAATAAGCCCAAGTAAGTATCTCAGCCCAAGGCAGGTCAGGACACCCTGCACCCCAGCCCCTTCTGGGCCCAGTCTCTTCTTGGAGGGGGAAGTGTGGTGATGGTAAAAATAATGAGAGATACTGTGGCATCTGGGACTCAAAAGAAATCTGTGTGTTGATCCCACCGCTGGGACAGCCGAGAGGATGGCAGCGTGGCTCAGGGGAAGGAGTGCTGGCCCAGGAGTTAGACGGTTGAGTCTTGGTCCTGCCGCAAAGCATTGGAATCAGCTCTTGAATCCAGCCCAGGTCCCAAAGGAAGTCTGACGGTTTCTGAGCACAGCCATGCATCTGTGCTCAACACCGATGCCAGAAGGGTCCCTCCTTGGAGCATACTACTTTTAACTTAATTCACGGTACAGCCAGACATGATAGTCTCAAATGCCAGCCAGAGAGGTTGGATTTGGGGGCCTGGGGGGAGTGGCACTGCTATAGAAGTGGCAGATGGGAAAGGCTGGGTCTCAAGCACCCAATCACTGCATTAGGCCCCCACCTGTCCCAAGAGGTGTTGGTGCAAAAGACAACCCCAGTCTCAAGACCCCAGGGATGCAAGATGCATTCGAGGTGAATTTCTTGCTCCTAGAAGTTCATGGCAAGTTGAGGCTGGATGAAGAGGTTCCACTCCTGTTCCGAATTCTGGACCCAGCCCACCTGGTCTTCCTCTGGCCCCTGCTCTGACCCTGACTAGGCAGCTCAGCAGAGGCCGGGGAAGAGAGGGCTGGGCTGCTGGGTGTGTCCTCTGGGGTGGAAGGGGAGGCAGCAGATGGCAGGGCCTGCCTCCTCTGAGGCAGTCTCAGCCTGAGAGTGTGTCATGTGCGCGTGGCAGGGAGGCCAGGCCTCTCCGGGCATGACAGGGGGCTGCTGAGTCAGTGTGCGTGCACTGGAGCTTGGGTACCGGGAAGGGGCTTGGCAGGAGGGAGCAGAGATGGCAGACGGTCAGGAAGCTGATGAAGGGGTGAGGCCAGGCATTAAAACCGTGCACACGTTATCCACTCTAAGAGCAGATCCTATTTCATGCACCCAGAGGGAGAGGAACAAAACGACTAAGTTTACTGAAATTCTACATAGAGGTTGTCATTTTTAAAGGCAGACTCTGGCAAGTCTGTACAAACAAGCTTCCATTCGCACCACAGGAAGTCATGGAAGAGTACCACGTGCCAGGCATGTGCCAGGCGCTGTGGAGGAGAGAGGGGAGATGAGTGAGACAGGACGACCGCTCCCCCGTCTAATGTGCCTGTTGTGTGCGTGTGCGTGCGTGTGCACAGTCACTCACGCACTCGCGCACGAGCACATGCACACGCAAACACCAACATTAACCAACCTAGAGCAGAAAGCAGAAATGTAAATCCAAGGAGAGCTACAACTCTAGCACTTGGCAGGGAAGAAAGATCTACCCCAGCCCAGGGCGCCATGTCCGAGGAGGTATGTTTGAGCTGGGTCTTGGGTGAGCAGTAAGGACTCAGCTGGAAGCCAGGAGGGCAGCTCCCTGCCTCCTCAAAGAATGTGAGACGAGGGCCGGACACCTCTGTGACCTGAGCCACGTCTCGTCCCCATCCAGGTCTCAGCTTCCTCCTACGACCACGGAGGTTTATTCTGGCTCATACATCACAGGAATCTCCTTTGCCCTCCTCCATGGCATTCCAGCTGCCCGGGAACCAGGTCTTCTTGACTTGCCACACACTCAGCAAGAGCTAAACCTCTTCTGGGCCATCCCAAAGCTCCCAAAAGCACGTCAATTCTAAAACGAAAACTAACTTCACTAAACTGACTTGCTATCGAGTCTATGATTCAGGAAAGATCTTGGACAAATTCCACGAAGGGGTCCAGCTAAAGAAATAAAGAACTGGAGTGTGAGGAGAGGGAGAGAGCTGAGCGCAGCAAGTTCCCAGAGGGGAGCTTGGAAGGCTGCTGGAGAACGCAACGGCTGTGCATCAAGCCCAGAGAGCCTGCTTCCACCTGCAGAGGAGAACGGGTTCTCCAAGACAAACACGGAACTGACAGATTGATCACTGCTGCATTTGACCATATTGGGAAGAGGCATTGCTCACTCCAGGGAAGGAAACGAATCATAGTACACTCAGCTGGGATCAATATTTACATTATCACTTACTAAGGGAGACACTGGCTAGTCACTGAACCTCTCACAGGAGACACCTATAGGAAGTGGATGGGAAGCGGGGAAGTGCTTTGTACGTCTGTGGGTAGTGTTAGGGTCCTGAACCTTGTGTCTGCTATAGTGAAAAGTCAATTGATAATGTTTCAGATTGAAAGAAAAGGTAAGTAGAGTATCCACATCACTTAGAATATGCAGGGAAATACCAGAAGGAACAACGAACACTCAAAAGTGGTTGCCTCGGGCTTCCCTGGTGGCGCAGCGGTTGAGAGTCTGCCTGCTGATGCAGGGGACGTGGGTTCGAGCCCTGGTCTGGGAAGATCCCACGTGCCGCGGAGCAACTAGGCCCGTGAGCCATGGCCGCTGAGCCTGCGTCCGGAGCCTGTGCTCTGCAACGGGAGAGGCCACAACAGTGAGAGGCCCGCGTACAGCAGGAATGAGTACCTTGTCTTAAAGGGCAATGTGGGGGGCTCACACACATCCACTACATGCAGAAGGGAAAAAAGTGTGTAAGAGTTGTTAAAGTTTCCCTAGAGAATGCTAAAGTTCTTCCCAAGTAGGAAAGCTTTCATTATTAAAAAAAAAAACCTCTAGGGGCTTCCCTGGTGGCGCAGTGGTTGAGAGTCTGCCTGCCAATGCAGGGGACACGGGTTCGAGCCCTGGTCCGGGAAGATCCCACATGCCGCGGAGCAACTAGGCCCGTGAGCCACAACTACTGAGCCTGCGCGTCTGGAGCCTGTGCTCCGCAACAGGAGAGGCCGCGAGAGTGAGAGGCCCGCGCACCGCGATGAAGAGAGGCCCCCGCTTGCCGCAACTAGAGAAAGCCCTCGCGCAGAAACGAAGACCCAACACAGCCAAAAATAAATAAATAAAATAAGAGCGCTTGCCTCTTATGAATGAGATTTGGGGTGAAAGAGGGACAATCAGGGGGCTGCTGGTTTTCTTAATAGGCTGTGACTCATTTGACATTTTTAACTATGCGCATGTGTTGCTTTAATAAAAATAAAAATTAAATTAAAAAGTGATAATGAACGTTCAAAGCCCTAACCATACTTTCGAACCATAAAGCCGCCTCAAGAGGCACGCACGGCACTCCTGACACTTGGGGTAGGGGAAGCACCTCTCCCACCCCCTTCTCTTCCTCTCCCTCATTACCCCGAGGCTCTCTTTTTTCCTCTTCATAGCACTCAGTCTTTTAAAGCACTTCATTTATTAATTTGCCAGTGTGTGTATGTTTGATCTGCTTCTCCCAGAAGGAGCGGGTGGGCAGGGACCCAGTCTTGTTTATCGCTACATCCCTGACATCTAGTCTAGGTCCCAGCACACAGTAGGTGCTCGATAAATACGTGTGGCCCAGCACTGGCTCACTGAGCAGCCTATGCCGGTCAGTGGGTTCTAAGGCCCATCAAGGAGACTTGGGTGTTCAAAAGTGTCTGTTCTCCTGGAAGCAACTCAACCACGAAAAGCTGATGTGCACGGGAGCCCAGCGATGATGCGGGTGCCCAGGCACTCTCAGGCACACGTGTGCACACCGCAGCGTACTCCCAGGGAGCAGCATGCTTGCTTATTGTCTGCAATTAGCAGCCTGCAGGGTCAGCCAAACTGTTCTGCAGCCTTTTATTGGTCTTTCAGCCAATACCCTGTAAATTAGAAGGAAATGGCTGTCAAGTGGCTTAATGGCAAATCGGTGGCAGAGGGTGAAAGACCTGTGCCATGCACCACCAAAGGAAGCAGGGTGTTCTTCCTGTGCCTTGGGAGTGGGGGTAGCTCAAGGGAGGGGGCTGGGAGGGGTGAGGCCATCTCTGCAACGCAGGCCTCTGCATGAAGGGTGTGGCCGGCAGAGAAGCTGCAAACCCGCCTAGGAGAACGACCTCACCCTTGAGGGCCCACAGGCCTGTGGGGTGCCACCTGGCCCTCCTACCCAGGCACTGGGCACCCCGCACCTTGGAGCTTGATCTCCATGCCTCTCGCTGACTCCGGCTTGTCTGAGGTCCTTGTCCCGCCCTGGACCAAGAGGTTCTTCTGTGGTCCCTGCTCACAGAGCCTTGGTCTCTCCTGCAGGCAGTCCTCTCCCATTGTAATTCCTGGTCCTTCGGGGGGCAATCTGATTAACATCCACTTCTCCCCCTAGGGATGTGTGCAGTGAAGACAGGGGCTGTGCCTGAAGCACCCACCACCAAAGCGCCCAGGCCAAGCACAGCCCTGGCACCTGGCCCAGTATTTACACATCTGGGTGGTGGAAGGACCTAGCGGCAGTGGTCCGCCTGCCATGCCAGGACAGAGAAACAAAGGCTCAGGGAACTGGACAGAGACTTGAGGGACCCTCACTTTGAAGATGAGGGCAGTGATACCCACTGAGCTGGGCTGGGGCTGGGAACAGAACGCGGGGGTCTTGACTCCCAGTTCTGGGTTCTTTTAACAGCTCCAGGCTGTCCTGTTGTGTGATGACAGGTACATGCCAGGCCTGGGGTGGGGAAGAGGCCTGGATGGAGCACGAGTTCCAGAACGCCCAAGGGCTCTGGGGCCTGACCATGCCGTGGTCACAGCAAGCTCAGAGCAAGGAGCCACTGAAATGCAGACTGCGTGGGCTCCCCACGGCTGGGAACCCTCCAGAATTTGGGTTATTGACAGGGGACTTGGGGGCCACTGCACGTTAGTCCCACTGACTAACACATGGGATGCCCATCTCCTTCCAAAAAACTTCTCAAGCCCCCAGGTCTAGGTGAGGCGCCCCTTCCTCTGGGATCTCCCAACCTGGATGCGCTTGAGCACCTTACCTCCCAGCAGAGCTGGGACCTTGGGAACATTTGTTGAGTCACAGGATGAAGTTTGAGTCACTGAGTCTGTGTGTGGAAAGTGCTAAGTAGACCCCACCTCTCATCAAGGTCAATGCCCAGTGAGGGCACTATGGGGGTGCTCCTTCTGCATCTGTCCCCCCCCCCCGTCTCCTCTCATCCCTGCGGCCACAACCCAGATGTCAAGCCAAGCTGGCATCTCCAAAATCATCTCGTTCCCATCCCAGCTGATCCTAGAACCATCCTCCCAGCAATCCGGCTCCAAAAGGCTGTGTTGTGGCCATTCACAAAGATCTCTTGGAAATCCTCCCCTAGGACTCCAGGCTGTGAGAGTGTTTTTTTTTAAGAAAGCAGGGTCTATCTGCGGCCACAACCCAGATGTCAAGCCAAGCTGGCATCTCCAAAATCATCTCGTTCCCATCCCAGCTGATCCTAGAACCATCCTCCCAGCAATCCGGCTCCAAAAGGCTGTGTTGTGGCCATTCACAAAGATCTCTTGGAAATCCTCCCCTAGGACTCCAGGCTGTGAGAGTGTTTTTTTTTAAGAAAGCAGGGTCTATCACTGAATTTTCCTTTTAATGGTTTTATAGCGACATGCAATGCTTTTGTTTCCTGAGAGAAAAGGCATGTTTCAGATGAATTATTAACCAAAAAGAATTGACTGTGAGCAAGAAATCTTCCATTTACTCGGGAGAGAAATGCACACAGACAGCTGCCTGCGCCGGGCTATCTCTTACAGGGTCAACTGGGGGAGCTGGGAGGGGGCATTTGCTCTCCTACACCGGGCGAAACTTCTGCTGCTCCTCCCCCAACCCACGAGAGGTTGATCCACCTTCCCCAGGTCAAGCTTCCTTCCAGGAGGCTTCTGGGAGAACTGGCCTCTATTTCTGCCCCCACTGACCGTGAGTAGCAGCCCCTCCTGTCACTGATTATCTGTCCTCCTGCGCCAGGGATGCCATCTCTGGACTGTGAGGGTCTGGACGGCAGGGGGCTGGGTCTTCACCCAGAGGAGGTTGCTGATCTGGGCGCTCGGGCAGAAAAAGGACTGCGCTCCATTTACTACGTGGGCCCGGGAGGCTGACACCTATGCAGTATCTCCTGGGCTCCTCTGTTTCTTGGGTTTGGCCAATGGGAGGCACCTCCAGGAGACCTGGGAGCCTGGAGAAAGAAAGGGTGGGGAGTTTCCCCCCCCCACCTGCTATTTTGGGGCTGCATCTCCCGCAGTTCCAGCCACAGGTACTGCTGATTAGCCCTTCTTTCGAGTCTCCGGGCTCTCTAGGTTCCTCTTGCGTTATTTCCGTTGTCCTAGGGGTGCTAAGAGCTCCCACCGCTTTTAGTCCTGAAATGCTTCACGAATTCCACCGCTCGGTGGACCTGCCCACACCCCCTGGAGGAAGCCCCGCCCACACCCTAGGAGGAGGCCCCGCCCACACCCCTGGGAGGAAGCCCCGCCCACCCTCCGGGAAGGAGTCCCAGCCACACCGTGGAAGGGATCCACTGAGCCGTCTGGGGTGAGTTCTCTGTCTTTCCAGGCTGCTGACAGACCCGGGAACCAAGAGCCCAGAGCCGGCGGAAGGAGACGGGAGGCCCCTCCGGTTGCTCCGAGGCCGGTGAGGGAGGGGCCTCCACACACCGTCTGTGAGGGCCGCCGCTCCGCCGAAACAAGGCCACCGCTGGCCGCAACGCCGCGGTGCGGAGCTGTGAACGTCAGCTGCTTCTGATAGGTTCGCCCTGCCCTCCTGCCCTTGGAGCAGGTAGCCCATTTCTTCAGGAGAGTTTGGGGCAGAGAGAGAGAGGCAGAAGCGACGCTGTATCTTTTGGAAGTGCCTGAGCTTATTAAAAAGATGGTGCAGCCTGTCTCTGGGGGAAGGAGGGTCCTTGAGGGGACTACTGCCCCGTTCTCTGGCAGTGCCCCAGGTGGATCTTGCACACTGTTCCCCCAGAACCTTCAGTAGCTCCCTGTGTCTACTGAATCACGGGCCAACAGCTCCGCCTGGTGGGACAGACGCCTCCGCCGTCGGGCTCAGGGCTCCCTCCAGCCTCATCTGCCCCGTCACAGGGGCTTCCTGGTGCCTGGTGCTTTTGCACACACAGGTGCCTTTGCCTGGAATGCCTCCCCTGCTCTGCTTCTTAAAATCGTCCTCCCGCTGCAGCAGGCTCTCAGCTCAAATGCTGTTTCATCCCCATCAGAGTTCACATGACTTCTGCCTTTCCTGCCTGGTCACCAGGACACTCCCAGGCTGTTGGCCTGACGTAGCCCTGACCATATGCATGTTTTAAGACTTTTGACTTGATGTTTTACTCTTTCTGCTTTTGAATTATTAAAGTGAAATCACACAGAACAACCGACTAAGAGGGTAAAGTTAAATAACTTTGGTCTTATGATTGCTCAGAATAGATCCTCTAACTTTGGGCCTTAGGGAATTTTTTAAAAACTTTCTTAAAAACATATTAACAATCCCTATGGCCCGCTGGCGTTCTGCAACATTATTGTTTGTCTTTTGATTTTATCTTCCCCTAACATCCCCCAAGGCCAGGGAGGCCATTTTTGGGGAGGAGGTTAAGAACTGGAAATCAAAGGACATAGCCAGAGCTACTGTATTGTAAGTGCAGGGGGTGTCACACCGTGGCCTATTCTGCCGTACTTAGGGCCCTGGACACACCTCAAACCTCTTTAGGCCCCAACAATAACCATTCTGAGCTGCACACCCCAACTCAAGTGAGATGGTAGTTAACAGAAATGACGGCGAGTGTTATTGAAAGATAATTTGCTGTTTGGATCATTCATGATCCTGCTGGAACACTCCTATTCATCCTTCAAAACCCAGCTGAGGTGGCACATTCACAGAAAACCTTCTCTGAGGCATCACTACCTCTCCTCCCAAGAGAACCTCGCTCCCTCCTCTGTCAGCCTTCTTCCTCTTGTCTTTTTTTTTTTTTTTTAAATTGGGGTCTAGTTGCTTTACAATGTTGCGTTAGTTTCTACTGTACAATGAAGTGAACCAGCTATATGTATACATATATCCCCTCGTCTTGGACCCCCCCCCCCC